AAGAAAATTAAAAAAAAAATATAAAACCAAAATATGTATTCACGTAGTGGTTGTTAAGTCCATATTATATATTCTTACATCAAAGTACTGTATCAACAGTGACCTTTAACTTCGTTACAATATGTAGGACGTAGGTATATTATAATCACCGTATTTGCGGTCATTGCCCTTTGTTAACTATGTTATTATTGGTCTATAAATATCCACAATTTAATCTGAACATACTATTGTTCATATAGTCAACTTTTAATTCTTAATTTTTGTGTATAATATAAAACTCGAGACTTTCTATCCGTGCTGTACTGCACATTGTCGTTTCGTGTCAACACATAAGATACAAGAAGTGAATTTTTAATTTTAAATAATTTAAGGACATTAAAAACTTAATTAATTTTACTAAGTTAACAGTTTTCACACTAAAATTTATCTCATACGCAAATAGTCAGTTAGAATTTCATAACTTTTTTTCACCACAACATACAAAAAAATATAAGTTACAAATTTTTTCGGGTAAATGTTACGTTTCATTGTAGAAAAAGATATACATGGTTATCATATATTGCTTTTTAAAAGCAAAAAGTTATGGAACATTACTTAACAGAATTTATTTATTTAACTCATTTAAATCACCTAACTCTGAAAAAATACTAAAATTGTTTTTAAACTACTATGTTGATTATTTGACTTTTGTTCCATCTTCTCATCAACGTACAGCAGCAATACTTTTGGTTTTTGTAAATTTAACCATTGGAACTTAATATTATATTATAGTAAGCAAATTTTCAAAATATTAATATCACTTTTATTACTTGAAGATTGTTTGAAAAATAAATTCATGACACTCTCAGTGCATTAAACAATCCGATCAATCAAAGTTTAACTAGGATGTGGTATATATTTTTTTCGTATCATAGGTGTACGACGTATCTATTGATTATGAGTAACTAGAAACATTTGAAAAAATTATATTTTTTATAGTAATTTAAATATTTTTATACGAAATTACACACCTTTAAATGATCAAAATACGTATTCAGTAAGCAAAACATCGGAGTATTTTATCGCATGTGGCGTAAGCACGATGAACTACAACGATATTTGTCGTGTTCAAACACGATGTTTTCGTGATATGCTTAAATAAATCGATGACGGTATAACATAATATAATGTATTATGATATGATATAACATCCATTTCATATTATTTTGATACGTCAGTCGTTTGTAAATTTAAATTTGAGATTTTATCGTCAGCTTAATTTGCATGAATAAAAATAAACGTATTCGAGAACAATAATTTCACGTTACTACAGTTTTTATTTGCGTTCGAATACATTATATCTGTGACAATAAACGGGCGTTTGGTAATTTCAAACGATTCATCATCAAAATGCATCATCGTATAATAATATAATATACATTTTAAATTGTTATGCTTATATGTATGAGTGCTTAGTACTAGTACCTGGTATACTTTATTTACTATATAATATATACATATATATATAAATCAGCTATTTCAAAGATCCGAAATCGATGTTGTAACTATGTTAACTCAGATTTGCGCTAAGATATATTTACTTTGACATTCAAGTCAAAACACAATTATTACTAATTGAATTATATTAATTTAAGTACCATAAACGAATAATATTTACGAATAAATAATTATTTTATTGATGTTTATACTTCATATATCACTTCTATAGTAATGTGTAAATTATTTATACAATTTGAAATATTAATTATATACTTCGAAATGCAAAATTGTTATATTTTATGTGAAGTTATTAAAATTTTATTTTTCAATACTATAATAATGGTGTAATTATATTGGTTCTTAAATATGACTATAAAAATGTTACGACATGCGTTAACAGAAAGAAACAAATCGACAAGTATTAATATAAATCGCAACATTTAAAATAGCACCGATTATTATATATTTAATACTTTTTTTTTATAACTGTCTTTCTAGCGATGATGTCGTTTATTGATTTTAAACAAAAACGATAAAATTTGTAAGAAAATAGTTAGAACATAATTTGTGTTAATGTACATGTTCACAAGCGTTCATAAATTAAACACTACAAATGTAAACATTTAACGAGGTAATAAAATATTGTTGCGTCCTACTATGTACTCGCATAAACTGAATTATCATTAATTATAATAACACGCGTGGAACTTAGTTTTTATTATAAATCCATCTATATTAACTAACTTAACTACTTTATCCGACAAAGTAGTGAATTAGTGAACTGCACCGAAAAGTTGTCGATTGATCAATATTCACGAGTAAATATACGGAGTTTAATAAGTTCATGTACGTTGTAGTAAAAAGGAATATATTTACTAGTCGATCCTTGTAATGGTCGTTTGATAAAAACGCGCATTTCCCCTTCTATTTCAAGATGTACCGGGTTAGGTTGTAGTGCATTACACCTATGTATATTTCACATTATTTTAACCTACATGATAGAATAATATTGTACACTATTAAAAGTTATAGCTGTAGCCAATAAATGTAAATATTCTTCTCTTACTATGCCATTGTTTAAAGATAAAACAACGTTTAATAAATAATAAACATCTGATAGTTTCAATATAAAATATACATACATAATATTGAAAGAACTTTGGGTCAAGTATCTTATATACTGTATAAAATGTCATAGACCAATTGGAATTATTTGCTGTTTTTCCCATATTTATTATGGTCGATTGATTTTCAGGCTTATTATTTCATAGTATATAAAAACAACGGAAGTTGGAAACTTTGGAACTGATTATAAAACACTATTATATTGAAAATCAGCCGACCGAACGGAGGAAAGAAAATGAATTTCAAATAGTAATACAAAAAAAAAAAAAAGAGAGGGTGTTTTATTAAAAAAAAAGTCGTTACTGACATGATCTGCAAGAGAAACGATTATACTTTTTTTTTTTAATACCAATTATTTGTTCTGTATACGACTGTTTGTTAAGCAAATATAAAATTTCTTTTACATTCACAATACGCGGGCCTGTATAACCCGAAATGTATAAGAACATACTCATATAGGTTAGCTATAGGTTACATAGATTATATTGATAGGTTATTCAAAATGTATTTTTAAATTTTTTACTTTTTTGAATGACAAAATAAATTTTATTTGGAATATTTAGATTTTGAAAAAATCAAATATACGAACATTTCATATAGGTCAATTAATTATGTTTTTTAGTTACTAAAATATATTAAACAAATATTTTATGATGTCTTGTGTTTGTAAAATATATAGCGCCCCATTAATTTTAAAAAGTTGACTCACAAAAATTCTTTCAAAAGATCGCAAACGATTTTAAATTTTACAGATCATTTTAAATATTTTTTAATCAATACATTTTCCACTGTTTTGAATGTTTAAATTTTACGATAAAACCGGTTCGTAATACAAACGTTGAATCGTACAATACAGTGTTAATTTGTATGTATTGTCGTAACGATTTTTCAATTTTTACTAATTTGTTTTGATTATTCAATTTTTTTACAGGTATGATGCGGTACAGCGTGCCCACTTGCAGACCACTAGGTGAAGAGGGCGATACGTGCCGTCCTCACTCCGGCGACGTCCAACCTCAGAATATTACCGTCACCTACCCCGACGGATCGTCTGCCGATCTGTATGTACACACAATGCTGTGTCCATGTGCCACCGGACTCGAGTGCTCGGACGGTATGTCGTGCACAGGGTTGGACGGGGCCGGGAAGCTGATGTTGCGCGAGGACTACACGGACGTGGATGACCTCAATCACCTGCGACGATGAACAGCCTCATAGTTGCGATATCCCCATCACTATATTATCTATAATTATTATTATTTTTATGATTAATTATTATTTTATTGATATATTGTTTTCAACACTGGTGCAGCACTAAAAACCGATTACTGTAATATCACTGTTATAATATACACGCGCCCAATATTTTTTATATTATTACCTAAAATATAATTATATAATACACGAGTCCTATAGGGTATATTATGCGAATAGCGCAATAGATACATAGACACACAATCCGTTACAGATCGTCCGAAAATCAGTTTAGTAGATTTTAATCCTGATTTTTACTTTAAATATTTACCGAGGTTAGGTTAGATATATTATTGGTCGTTATTCGTGTGTTACATCTATTTATATTCGCTTTAGGTTTTAGTAATATTGAGAAGTAATTTAAAAAAAAAAAAACTATTATAGTGGAAGATTAAAAAAAAAAAAAAAAAAATACGAAATTTAACTATTTCTGTTTACAAATAAATAATAATAAAAAAATGTATTTTATGTATGATCAAAATTAAGATACGAAAATGACTATGGAAAGGTAAAGAGCATGAAGGGTATTTTACTATTTTACCTACAAAGCTCCTACGAATGGGAGGTGAGCAGATGCAAATACGATCTGTATAACTATATAATTTAGCCTAAATTGTTTGGATGTACTGTGTCAATAAACATAATAATTCATAATATAAATATGTTCAACACGGTTATGCATAAAATATTTCATCACTCTGAGTCGATATTTATCAATTAAAATTCATTTTTCGTGAACGATAGTTCAAACGAATATGCACAAACCATCGGGAAAAATCTCCCATGTTTTGATATCGCCATTACAGAATCATAATATCATTATCGTAAATTGTAATCCGTAGTGTTCCGTCGTCGATTGTGTGACAGTTACCCTGTAACTGGACACGATAATCCTAAAAAATTGTAATAATTATCATACGTATATGAACTTCAATGCGCACACGTATGATAGATCGATAGTTCGATACAATATTAATATTATAATGTATAATTACACGTGTGGTGTGAATAACTAATGTAAGGTAAAACCCGTCGCCGTAATCACAGTGGCATGTTTCGATAATTTGACGAGTGCGTCAAACAAAAAATTAATTATCATATTATAATAGCTCATCATAATAGTTTCCCACAATATTATAATAGGTGCGTGTAAAATTGGGTAATTGTACCCCATTATACCAATACAACACATGTATAATAATATCGTTTTACCTATTCGTTTTTTACGTATCCCAAATCATGTGATTCAACGGATTTTTGTAACGAGACATAATATTTCGATCATGTTTACCTGGAATTTACAGAAACGATTTCCGCCGTGTACGCATACCATCGAAGTATACGGTGTGGTATTATTACAACTATTATTTTAAAATTAATGTCATAATGTATAATTTAGTATTATAGTGCTCAAGATTGGTGAAATACACTGCACAACTACAGTTTGCAGTTGCATTGTTGTTAGTCGCAATAAAATTCATAGTAATAATTTTTATTTTTATTTTTTTAATGTGTATTAATATTTTATACTATATACGTACCTACAAATATAGTAACTGAAGGCGACGGGTGATTACCTCCATCATTTATTATTATTATTATTATTATTATTATTATGTTTATAAGTATGTATTATGTTTGTTCGCACTTTACGGTCTGTAAAACCGATTTTTTTTTTTTTTTTTAATAGCATATAAATATAATATTATTATACCCATTATAATGTGTATAGTGTTGTATAATACCGAAACCTAACCTAACGAACAAAAAAAAAATTTGTCTTGTCTTCTCCGTTTGCCATCCACCACTGCAGTATGCGCGTTCCTCTTCCTATCATTTATTTATTTTTACGCGTTTGTTTTTTACGTGTCGAACTCGACATTGGATACGAATTTTTTATGGATCTTGTGCGATGGCTGTACGGCGAGTAATGTAATATTATATTATTACATTCTACGAAAAACGCCACGTTTGAAGCTCTAAACATTTATGTGTCCGGAGGACAAGTCGTTATTATTATCGTAATAATGTAATACAACTTAAATACAATAATATGTATTTTGTACGAAAACAATAAAAAAATATGAGTTTACACTACAGAACTAGTAGATATTTGCATTTTGTTTTACGGTAAAATTTGAATAATACGACTTGTCGCAGCGTAGATGTTGTAGTGTTGTGCGACGTGTCGTGTATCATTTCGTTATCAAGATTTAAAATTTACAATAACAAATAATGGTCTACAGATATCACACAGTTCATGGAAAAAAACAGACTCACAACATTTATTATACTTCGTTTATTCGTTTTTAGATAAGTTTTAGACATGCAATTAAATTGCTCTTTTAATTTTTTTCACCGTTGTAACCACGGATAGTGGATAATAAGGAAATTGAAAGAAAACAAAATAATAAAAACGTAAGGTGAAAGACATTTCAGACTTAAGCGCATCGATGTCCTCATTCGTGATCTAAGATGCAAACATTTGAACGCTTACGACGATCGTAATGTTACATAATAATATGTAAGGAGTGAGAATACCATTTTGGAAAACATTATACGAGTATATGGAGGTTAATCGTTTTATTTGTCCAGGGGGGTGACTTACCGGACCAAAAACACGTCTTACAAATCCCCATTTTATCGCTTTTATTTAAATTTGCAGTACCTAAATTACCTATATATATCAATATGTGTATTCTCCAAACGATCACTTGAGAAAATTTGGATTCACACTATGAATGCATTACATACAGCTTGCACTTGGATATTAATGTAAATTTGGCCTGTGGGGATAGGCGTGTACAACAGAAAGGGTGATTGAAAACTCAGGCCTATAAAATTGATGTTTAATTATCAAATGAAAAATTTAAACATACTGTACTATAAAATATTATTCAATATATATATATATTTTTTTTTTGAACAGATATATCTATTGAAGTTATTTTTATAACTGTAGTATTTTGATAACACGCAATAATAAAAATCGGTAGAAAAAGTGTAATAAATACCTACAATATATAAATACAAAAATAAAAAAAAAAAAAAATTATGAAAAGTTACAAAATAAAAAAATATAATTGTATTAATATTGTATAATTTTTTGTTAGTGTGGTATATTTACTAATAAACCATAATCGTGCCATAAGGTAATCATAAAAATATTGGTTTTTTCTTTTATATTGTATTTAAAAATATAAATAATTAAAGGTAATTATGGAGTAAAATAAATTATAGCTTCTTACGTAGTTACTACGTATTATTTACTAATTATCCGTTATCCGTTACTTCTATACTTGCTGTCTGAATCAACAGTCATGCATTTTTTAACCTTTAACATCGTTTATGAAAAAACAAAAAAAAAATTGCAAATTCAAAATTCAAACATATAAATTAAAAATTATACAGAAAAATATGCTTACGTTAATAGTTACCACTAAATATTTTAGTTGAATGACCTTCGATTTAAATTTATTTTAAAATAAAATTGTTGACTCTGTTATGTATAATTATTTTTTTTTAATATTACCAATAGTCATTTTTGAAACATATCTAAAGCAAATCCAAGTTGGCAGGTACATTTTTTTTTTTTAAATATTTGTGAAAAAATGTTTTTCTTATTTATTGCAAAATATATTAAGTTAATAATGTGAATTGAAAATATGAGTATTTTAGTAATTTATTTTTTTAAATTTACTTTAAGTTTAATCATTCAATTTTAAAAGTTTAAAAATAATATAAAAATAATTAAATGTAATGAAAGTTGTTAAAATTAACACATCACAAATATTAGATTTTGTAATTTAATGAAAATAATATTAATTTACTTCTTTTCTGTGTACAAATTAGAAATATTAAGGGTATGTCGAGTATATAGAATGTTTATCATTGTTAAAAATAGATTATTTTTACTACTAAAATTACTCTAACTTTGTTAACAATATTCTTTAATTAGAAAAGAAAAATTTAACTGTAAAAGTAATTATTTATATAAATCTATAGAACATCTATTAAAACCTCGTTTCCACTTAAAATCACCTAGTTGATATATTTGATAATACTTTTTTGCCTGAATACACTGTAGGCATAAATATGTCTGTTTAAAATTCTATAAATTAAAAAAAAAATATATTTATAAACTTTATATTTTTTTTTAGAGTTTTTAGTTTATTTTTTAAAATTTTAACTTGAATAGTGAAGGTAATCTGAAAAAATTGTTTGAAATCACGAAATTATTCGTTGAAAATTTCAGAACAATGTGTTACTATTGGATCGTAAAAAACAAAAAAAAATAATTGAAAATATTAAAAAATAATTAAATTGCTAAATATATTACTTTTATTAACTGATTTCTGTTATATGAAAATTTTTGAGTACTTGTATTAAAAAATGTATTCACCGAAAAATTGAAAAAATATTAATGTGAAATATTTATTGGTCAGTAAAAAATCTTCAAAAGAAGAAAATATTTGTAAAAAATGTGATTATTTTATAATTTAAATGCTTATCTTCTGTTGATAATTTTAAATTTCCTTAAGAATCGTGAAATGTACATATTATTGTCAAATATAATGAGTATGTAGTAATCCTAAAACCCAAAATAATTGTTATATAAATGTTAATGTACTATAGATGATAAATTATACAAGCAGTATAGTTTATGAAGTATTTAAGGTAAGTATTAATTGTAAATATATGATGTACCTGTAAAATCTAAAAAAAGAAAGCTTAGGTCAAAGAATGGAAACAACAAGTTGATTTTACCAATTTGTATAAGTTATCACGCCACCATATGTCATTCATAGAATGCATATAAATACCTAGCAATAGGTAAAAGATAATCAGCACTAATAGGAAGTTCAGTGAATTTACGGTTGTACGGATAATAATTTATAAATAAGATATTCTATTTTATTTTTTAAGTAAAGAATTAAAGTGTTCAACTTATTTAACTACCTATCTTTCTCAAATTTGTCTCAAGATTTCAACGAACGTACGAACGTACTATGTCGTTTAAATAATAGTAATTTTATTACCGATCATCGTTGTGTTCCGTACAGCAATCATTAAACATAAATTATAATTTATTATGCTTAAAAAAAAATCGATAAAAAAATGTTTTTGTGTTGCGTTTTGTTTCGAAATTCAAATGTTGGGAGATAAATCTCAATGCAATTTAGGAGTATTCCCTAATAATATATACAATATTCTGCAGCCAGCCGAGAAGTCTGTGGAATAGTATTAACGGTTGATTATTAAGGTCGTGATCCTTACAATTTCGGGGTCATGGCGATCGATCATATAAAAGTAATGGATAATTGTTAACACTAAACCTGTTATTAATTTTAACTTTATTTTTTCATGTATTTTTTTTTTTTTAATTTGAATAATCATGACAATGAATATTAC